CCCGGACGACCTCTACCACGACGAGAGGTACACCCCGACTCGACATTGTGGGACACGTGGTTCCGCGATGAGCACGATGTGCGGCGGGTGTCGTTCTTCGCCGGCACGTCGACGGGGCCGTGGCGGCCACGTGAGCCCCGAGCGGCTCACCAGGTGCGCGGGCGTACGCGGGTCCGCGGCCTGACGCCCACGCCATCGCCGTCGCCATCCCCACCTCCTCGCATGACGGCGGAGGAGGAGGCCCGGCTCATGGCGCGTGTGCTGAAGGACTCCATGCACGCGCACGACGAGCGCCAATGGGCGGACCTCGAGGCGGCGATGGCCCTCTCCGCGGCCGGCGACGTCACCATCCCCGAGGAGCCGCTGGTGGCCGCGTTGCACCCTGACCTGGTGGGCCAGGGGTGGAGCTGGTCGTGCTCCGCTGAGCAGATGGCGGCCGCCCTGAGGGCCGTGAACTGGTGCCCCACGCCGCCGCGGTCGCCTGAGCGGGAGGCCTCGTCTCGGGAGGAAGTGGTGCAGGCACCACCGGCCACCTTGCAGCCCGCCGCCCCCGTGCACCACGGACCGCCGGCCCACCTGTGGACACTGCCGGAATACATCGACCTCGTCAGCGACGACGACGACACCGGCAGCTAGTGAAGACGGCGACCGCCACGGCATCGACGGGCGCGGCAGGAGCGCGCGGGAGGCGTTTTGTTTTTGGTTTTATGTTAATTATGAACTGGGCCATTTAAATGGACCGAACTGGGCCGTTTTGTGACCGTAACCCCTATATATATGTTTTATGTTTTCTTAACTGCGTTTATTTACCTTTTCAGTCATTTCAATTAAGTTTTTTTTTAAAAATTATTCACGTCCACCCCGGACAGGTTTTGGGGTGCGGCCGCGCATCGGGCGCACCCACGATCCATCGGATAAATACGGACATGGGCGAATCCATCAACATCCCAAAGAGACAAAATCCGACCAAACCGGACGTCCGTTTATGGCCGCGCGGTGGAGTTGGCCTAAGCAACGATCGAGCCTTCAAAACTCGCCGGACGCCTGCATCTGCATGGCTCCCACCGCGGAATGCATATGCATCATGCGTGCAGGGAATTTGCCCGGTCGATCTGATCTCTTTTACCAGTATTATATCTACAGTTTTACAGCTTTACTCCCCGTGCAAATTGCAATATGGCCATGAGCTACGGATCTAGCTTGCGGTCGAACTCGGTCAACCCATCGGGATACGTAAAGCGAACAGTGATATGCATGCATGGCCTCACGGCGCCGAGTTTCGGATATGCCCTGCACTGCTGTATGGGCGCAGACTCGTCACTGTGGGCTGCGGCCTGTGAGGACCGGGACGACAGCCACAGTGAGGAGTGAGACGAAAGCGGCGCGCACATGTTCCCACTTGCCCCAGGGAGCAGACCACCTAGCTAGTCACGGGCGTCCATCGTCAAGCGTCGCCCATTGCATTGCACCGTACCAACCGGCCGCTGGCAGGCCGGCGACCGCTCTTCCTAGGATCGTTCACACCGCCCCCCGACACCTTTCTGCCAGACATGACGATTTGATCCATCTCTATCTATCTATCTACAACAGAGACGCGTCAACAGAATTTGAAAGCGGCGGATGATGTAGGTGCTTAATGCTCGAGTGATTTTTGTGTTTTCATCAGATTGATCTATTCTTTTACTGAGTGTATAAAACAAGTCATTGTATGTACTAGCCTAAAATAAATAAATTTTGAGACGAAGGTAGTAATTGATATTCTTGTGCAAACTAGCTACATATACACGGAAAATACCCTTTGGAACATGGTGGTAATTACACCTGATAATTGATTTTATTTTAAATTCAAAATACGTCAAAACTTCTCAAAACTTTTTTGCAACAAACTTGAGATGTCATTTCTGTCATGCATAAATACTACATAAAGAAATATTCTCAAGCAAAATTCTGACAAAAATCTCAAAATTATATATGTGCGGCGAGGTGTTGCTGGAGCGCGGCCGGTGTCGTCTTCTTTGGGGCCGTAGGAAGAAGACAGTTGAATGTGGAACAAGTCTTGTAAGCCCTTGGATTTTTTTGTTTGATGATCCATGTTGATTTGGTCGAACGCTCAATTTATATGAGAAGTCCTGGGCATCTTCAATGTGGGCCCTTAAATAGCCCGCATTCATCCAAACCGAATTGTGCAACACACATCCAATGCAGACCTGCATTTGTTGTGGACCAGCCCGTTCGTCTGTTTTTTCACAAACTGGAGACAAACCTACTGGAGCTTTGAGGTGTCCGTACATCCATATGACGGCCATAAGCCACTACATTGTCCGTACCCGCAAGGCCACTCCTATTCTAATAGTTGATCCGTGAGGATGGTACAGATCACAGTGAACAACTCTCATAGTCACTAGGAATGAACCTCTCAATCACAGGGAACAACCATTAGAATCACAAGGAACAAACACATAAAAAAGTTCAAAAGAGTGAGAAACAACTCTCTCATTCACTTGGAACAAGTCTCACAATCACAGGGAACAACTGTTAGAATCACACGGAACAAATACATAGAAAGGAGGGATTCAGAGTGAGGAGCAACTCCTCTCTCAATCGCATGAAACAACTCCCTCAATCACATGAAACAACTCCCTCAAGCACCAAGAACAAATCTCACAATCATAGGGAACAACTCTCAATCACAAGTTGTTATTGTGTGTTTTGGCGGAAAGCAACTTAACAAGTTGTATATCTTGGGGTAAGCCATTTCAATAAATAGAGGTGAACAATATTTCTTTGAGTTAATTGAGGCGCACATTCGAGGTATAGGGTTCGATGACCGGCTCATGTATCATGTCTGCGGAAGTGTTCGAACGTGGTCCACGGATAGATAGTGTCTGTCTTAGGGGATATCATAGGAGACCGCCTCATAATAGCCACACCGAAAACACGGTATGTGCTATATTTTTGATAGAACAATATAAGTCAGGTATGAACAGGGACCAACTAGGCGTAAATCGATTCATAAACATTCGATCCCAAGTCGTTTCTTTCTAAACCCTTGGATCAAGATCCAACAGATCGTAGTGCCAACTCTTTTTTTTTGCGGGATTTGTAGTTCCAACTCTAGCCGCTAGCACTGTTTCTCTTCTTCCTATGTGCACTGCTGTATCCAACACATACCGAATCGTCTGCCTCCGAAGCCCCACCCTCCCCTCAAACTTCCCCACCGTCGTGTTGGCGCCACCCTGGCCATATCCCTCTAACCCCGGTGAACCTACAGATTTTTCCGAAGAACCTGCAGCCTCGCACTACTAAGATAGACACTCGACGAGTCTGCACCCCCGCACCTGTAAGATATACACCCAGAGGCTGATACTTCCCCGACGAGCCGATGGCTGCTACTTTCTTTCCATCTGAAATCGACTGTGCCAAAAACATAATGGCACTATCAATAGTTCTGCGAACAGCCTGCATATGAATCTCTTCGCAAAGTGGTTAACTCTGACAAAATAATTTCCCCTCACTTAGTCTGCCTGCAATGAGAGTATCAAAAACGGTATCATGCTTGCCAACTAGATATTTTTATGAGATGGCACACAATTAAATGAAGAAAGAGAGAATTTGGTTCCATATCATGATATTGTATCAGATTGAATGTTGTTCAACAATCTAAGATAGTAACTATGATACCATTGCGGGCAGCCTTAACTAGATAAGATTAAATACACATACTTGGTATGATTTTACATCTTTTTAC